CCCCAAAACCCCAAAACCCCAAAACCCCGTGATGCAAATAAGCTTTTTATTTTTTTGACATTAAAATTATATTCAATAAGACTTATATGAAAATAAGTTTGAAGTTATCCGCTTAAGAGAGATATTTATTAAGTAGTACGTTTATAGTTAAGAAATATATAAATTTTATTTGATTGTAAGATCTTACTTTCTCAAGGATGTCAGATAAGTTTGGATCATAGAAGTAATAGAGTAGTGTCTCTGTTTTCTATGAGTAGATTGTGTAAGTAGTAGTTTTGAGGGTGGTATGGGTTATGGTGATGTGGTATTGTGTCTTGTAAAAGCCTGTAACCTAAAAAATATAAATCACTCACATTATGAGAACGGTTCTAATATCATATCCTATAGTTAAGAATATCAAAGATAAGAGTTGGCCTAGATGGCTACTCTCGATAAGATTGCTGAATCTAAAAGTGGCAAGAGTAAGAAGAAGTAGAAGGGTGGTATGGCTAGCGCTGTGTCAAGTACTGAAAAAATCAGAACTTGGGTACTATACTCTATCATTTTAAATTTATTTTATTTAGACTGAGCATTTAATAGATCAAGAGGACCTAGCAAAACAGTTGGAGACTGTTACAAAGGTTGATCCCATGGATAAAGAATATCATGGGTTGACAGAGCATCAAGCTCTGGAGGCCTTGAAGAAGTGGGGACCTAACACATTGAGTGAGAAGAAGGGATTACCTTGGTATCTAGAGTTTCTACTAGCAATGACTGGACTGTTCAACTATTTACTATGGTCAGGATCTTTACTTTGCTTCATTTCATATGGAGTGCAAGAGGATAAGTCCGATGCTTCTAACTTGTATCTTGGAATTGTGCTAGCATTGGTCATTATTATCACTGCTATTTTCTCTTACTCATAGACTAGTAAATCTGCTGCACTGATGGCACAATTCAAAAACTTCATTCCTCCTAAGGCCTAAGTCTTCAGAGAAGGAAAAAGAAAGGAGATTAATGCTGCTGAGCTAGTACCAGGTGATATCGTCTTTATTGATACTGGTGATAACATTCCAGCTGATGTTGTCCTTATCAAGACTAGTGAGATGAAAGTTAACAATGCCTCCTTGACAGGAGAATCTGAAGAACTACTTAGAATTCCAGAGGAAAAGGCAAAGAATATTTTTGAATCTCCCAACGTTGGATTCTTTGGTACTGCTTGCACCAGTGGAAATGGAGTTGGTATTGTATTCAAGACTGGAGATCTTACTGTTATTGGTCAAATCGCTAATCTTGCATCATCTGCAGAGACATCAGAAACACCACTTTCTCTAGAAATTGAGAGATTTATCAAGTTTATCTCAACAATTGCCGTATCTCTTGGAGTAATTTTCTTCATTCTGGGATTCATCTATGGATACGATGCTATTACAAATCTCATTTTCATGATTGGTATTATTGTGGCTAATGTGCCAGAGGGTCTTTTGGTTACTGTTACAGTATGTCTAGCTCTTACTGCTAAGAAAATGGCCTAGAAAATGGTCTTGGTTAAGAATTTAGAATCAGTCGAAACACTAGGTTCTACATCTTGTATATGCTCAGACAAGACAGGTACTCTAACTCAAAACAAGATGACAGTATCTCACTTATTCTATGATTTTGGAATGGTTGATGCCTCAATAAGTTATGACAGATATCTAGCTAACAAATAAATTCAACTTGGCTATAACATCAATGATGTTGGATTCAAGGAACTTATGCAAGCAGTTACTCTTGGAACAAAAGCTTCATTCTAATACATGCCAACTCCAGATGATTTGAAAACTTAACTTGCTAAGATGAAGAATAAGAAGTCAGATCATTTCAAAAATCATATTTTGACTGAGGACGAGAAAAAGATCACGACAGAAGCTTTACTAAAGGCAGAAGCTGATTAACCAGTTACAAACAAGAAATGTATAGGAGATGCTTCAGAAACTGGTTTAATTAAGTTCATTTAACCAATGTTTGACCTTGAGGATTATAGAAGAAAGTATCCAGTATTTACATTCTAGTAAGATGGTAAACCAACTGAAACAATGATTCCATTCTCTTCTGAAATTAAATTCAACATGTATGTTAGAGATATGAATGAGAATGATAAAAATCCACAACATGGTAATGATGGACTTATGCTTGTTATGAAAGGAGCACCTGAGAGAATTCTTAGCAGATGTAGCAAAATTTTGATCAACGGAGAGGAAAGAGAATTCGATGCTGCAGCTAGAGCTGAAGTTAACAAGGCAAATGACTAATTAGGAAAGCTCGGAGAAAGAGTCCTTGCTTTTGCTAGATACAATCTTGAGCCAAAGATTTACACTAAGACTCCACCATATCCATTTGATGTGAAAGGATGGAAAAAGTGGAAGGATGTAACTGAGAGAGATGAAAACATTAAGGGATGGTTCCCAATGTTCAACCTTACTCTCGTTGGTTTAGTTTCCTTGAATGATCCTCCAAGACCAAGAGTTGATATGTCAGTATCTAAATGCAGACAAGCTGGTATTAAAGTTATTATGGTTACTGGTGATCAGCCTCCTACAGCTGCAGCCATTGCTCACAAAGTTAATATTATCACAAACCCAGCTCTCGAATACAACTATCTTAAGGATGAAATGAAAATGTCACCAGAAGAAGCTTGGGAAAAATGCAGAGCTATTGTCATTCATGGAGATTTATTGGCTGAAAAACACGCTTAAGAAGAAAACTTAGATGACATGGATCCAGAAAAAGGAAGATTCCTAATTGAGTGGATTAGCAAACCTGAGGTTGTTTTTGCTAGAACTACCCCATCTTAGAAACTTTTGATTGTTGATGCTTGCTAGAGAGCTGGCCATGTAGTGGCTGTTACTGGTGATGGTGTGAACGATTCCCCTGCTATTAAGAAGGCTAATATTGGTATTGCAATGGGTAGTGGTTCAGATGTTGCTAAAAATGCTGCTGATATGCTCTTGCTCGATGATAATTTTAGTTCTATTGTAAATGGAGTTGAATAAGGTAGAGTCATCTTCGATAACCTTAAGAAATCAATTACTTATACACTCTCATCAAATATTCCAGAGCTCGTTCCTTTCATATCATTCATTATAGTTCAGATACCTCTCCCACTATCAACTATTCTCATTCTTTGCGTTGATATTGGAACCGATATGTATCCTGCCGTTTCTTTTGCCTATGAATATGCTGAACTAGATATCATGGAGAGAATGCCAAGACATTCAAAGAGAGATCATCTTGTGAGTGCTAAATTGCTAAGTTTCGCTTATATGTAAACTGGGTGTTTATAAACTGCAAGTGCTTTCTATACTTATTGTTATGTAATGAATGACTATGGTATTAGACCTGTAACCATGATGTTTTTAGCACTTGAAAAGGGTTACTTCCCACATGAGAATGATTCATATGATCCAAATCTTCCAAACTTTGGAAATACATAATATGGATACGATAGAACATCAATTTTCTGGGATGGTAGTTTGGACTCCTATGTGGACATTAGACTTTTCTATATACATAGACAGAGAAATGAATGGTCAAATTGTAGATGGGATCCTAAAGACACAGATATTCCTAGATTCTGGAGAATTTCTGATGTTTCCGATACTTAAATCTGTTATACTACCGAGGCTCAGAAATACGGATAAGGTGCATTCTTGATTTCAGTTATCGTCTCTCAATGGGCTAATTTACTTATCTGCAAGACTAGAACTCTATCAATATCTCAATAGGAATTAGGAAATCAAGTAGCCAACACTTCCCTCATATTTGAAACTGCTCTTATTATCTTTATCAGTTATGTCCCACCACTAGAAGTTGGTCTTGGAACAAGAGCTGTTGCCTGCTCACATTTTGCAATCCCAGGAATGTCATGGTTTATGATTATCTTCTTCTATGATGAAGTCAGAAAGATATACTTAAGACATGGTATAGATAAGTCTGAAAAAGGAAAAATTAAGTATACAGGTTGGATTGCTAGAAACACTTTCTGGTGAGTATTCCTAGCTAATTTTTGATAAGATAACTTAAACTTTAATTTCATTATTTACCCATTTTCTTTACTTTCTTTTCATGGGGTTTTGGGGTTTTGGGGTTTTGGGG